CGGCGTACGCCAAAACTTCGGAGCGAGCCGAGCCGCCGTCATGGGGCGAGCCGAGGAGCTGGTGCGGATCGCAAAGAAACTGGATAAGATGGTGACCAGGAAGAACACGGTGAGTAAACCCAGAGAGGGCGTGTAGCAAGATAGGAAACACGAAAAACCAAAACGTTGTGTGTGTTGACACCGTGTGTGTGTGTGTGTGTGTGTGTGTGTGTGTGTGTGTGTGTGTGTAGGCGTGTGTGTGTGTGTGTGTAGGCTGTGTATGTGTGTGAGCAGCCGTGTCTGTTTGTATGTGCAAGTGTGTGTGTGTGTGTGTGTAGCAGTCTGTGTGCGCGTGTGTAGCTGTGTATGTGTGTGAGCAGCCGTGTCTTTGTATGTGCAAGTGTGTGTGTAGCAGTATGGGTGGGTGTGGCCCAAGTTAAGAAAAAAAGCAAAACTGTGTGTGTGTGTGTGTGTGTGTGTGTGTGTGTGTGTGTGTTGAAACTTTGCAGCTTAGCTCCTGTGGTTTTGTTTTGTTCTGGTTTGGTTTTTTTTCAACTTGGATCTGTGCAGCACAAGACAACCTCCTGGCTCAGTCCTGCAGGTGGAGGGAGGAGGGGCTGCTTGGCATGTCTTCCAGCTGATCTGGGGGAAGGTAGCTGCTGACAGACTGTGTCTGATTTGACCTTGGGGAAAGCTCCCCTGGGGCTTAGCACCTCTGAAAACCAGGCCCTCAAAGCTTTGTGCCCCCAAAACGTCCACGAAAACGACAAAAGTTTCTTGTAGCCTGAGCCTTTGGGTTTCAGGCCTCCCGTCTAACCCCCGTGCATTTGATTTCCCTCGATTTCCCTGTGCATCTGAGCTGCTGTTTTCCCTGGCTTCCTGACAGGATTTTCATTTTGCCAGAGTTTGGTCACGTGAAAAATGTGTTTCTCAAGCTCACCCATCCTGTTGGGCGTTTGGATTTTCCTTTGTGTCACCCCCCTCGCCCTCATGCCGCCCTAGCTCTAGCTCAAGGGCAGGGTTTGGAGGGGGTAGAGTGTGGGCCAAGACCGCAAGTGTTTGGCAGGAATCTGAACAGTGCAAACCCAATCTCCCACGGGTGCTCATCCAAAGAGATTGGGCTGGGGCAAAGCAAAAATATCCAGGACGGGCGGGGGAGGGGAAGGAGCGAGGTATGGAAACCTTTTTCACAAGAGAATGAAAAAATGGAAGGCGGGGAGGGGGCGGGGTGGGGGAGGCAGAATGAATTTAAATTAACGCTCGTAAAGCCCCGCATGTCAGTGCGCACAGGTTGTAAGAGCAAACAGGACAGGTGTCCCTACCCGCCCTGAGCATTTCAAGCAAAGAGTTAATTGTAGGTACAACCAGCCTGATCCTTCCTGTGCATCCGTCTTGTCCTGGGGAAGGTGTGCTGGCTTGGCTTCCCCTGACTTCTTTTTTGGGGACAGCTCCTTAGCATTGACGCTGCCCCATTCCACTGGCAGGGGATCTGGGCCCCATTGGCTCTGGTGCCCTGCGATCAGGATCCAGGGAAGGCGGGGCGGGGGTGTGAAGTTAATATTTTACTTTCCTTGTGACCTTTGCCTCAATGGAGTGTAATTAACCCGCTCTCCCTCCCCCCAATCAGTGTATACCATTGGAGTGCTAATGCTGGCAGCTGCTGTAATGCTGGGCCTTGGATTTGTTCTAAGGCAATCGGGAGTCACTGCCGAAGCAAACCACGACTTGACGTAGCAAGATGGAGGACACGGGCCCTGCATGCTGGTGAAACAATGTGCCTAGCAGCTCTCAGTCCTTCCAGCATGAGACCTGGTGCCTCTAGCTGGCTTGGCCTGCAACTGGGGGAGGTGCCTGTTTAAAAATGGGGAAGCATGTTAAAATGTTCCCCCACGTGACAGGGGTTGCAGCACAGAATCTGTTAAGGAGCTTAAAATTGCTGCAGAGTCCCCTGACAGTTGGTTTCTAATGATCAGTGCATGGTGGGTGTGTTGGTTTCTCTGTTGCATGGCATGTGCATGTGCCCAGCCTGATTCTACATTGTAACCTGCCACTGGGCAGATTTGAACCTGGGACTTCTGGAGTTAGTATAGGAGCCTCTACATCTTGAGCTATAAAAGCAACTGGCTCTTAGGTTAGGCTGTAGAGCTCCCTTGTTCTTATCTCTTGCTGTAAGTGGTCTAAGTGCCACTACATGGGACAGTGAACCACACTAGGGGTGTGTCTAGACTACAGGGTTTTGTCGACAAAAGTGGCCTTTTGTCAACAAAACTATACCTTTGTTGACAAAAGGTGCTATTGCATTCACACTGTGCTTTTTCAAAAGAGAGCATCTAGACTCTGTCGAAAAAGCGGCTTGCTTTGTTGACAGAACTGGCTGTAGTCTAGACAGTCTTTGTCGACAGAAGCCTCTGTCGGCAAAAGCCTGTAGTCTAGACGTTCCCCTAGGTGTGTGGGTTATATTTGCACCAGTGCAAAGTGGGTGTAAAGGGCCCCTCTAAATGCTAGTGCTTGGCCCTTGTTTCATGCATGGGTCAATGGCTGCAGAAGGCCGGGGCAACAGAGAATTGAGAATTGGCGCCTTCTCCAGGGCTCCCGCTGCTGTGCTAGTCTAGATGTGCTAATTGTGCTAGTCTTGATAGCAGCTGCGGTGGAAACACCGGGGTAGGGTGGAAATGCCCTTTTACCTCCATCTCGTCTGCAGGGGACCACGAGCCATGGTCCCTGGAACCTTTCACACTTGGAGGAGGCTCTACGTCTGCCCCAAGTGTGCCTGGCCAGGCTGGGCGAATGTTCCCAGGGTACCTGTGCGGTCTGTATTATTTCTGGCCAGTGACAGGCCACAAGCCACTTATACTGCTCAGGACCAGCGAAGCCAAGGTGCTGTGTAGCTGCCAGAGGTACCTCAAGTGGCAAACCAGGGAGAACCCATTGCTCAGTATTCATCATAGCGACAACTTGTGCCTTATCTGGCAACCCCATTTGATCCTCTGCAGGGCCATTCTGATGCCAGGCTCAATGCCAAAATTAGAATGAATGAAATGTGCCCCAATGCTGGGTATGCGTGTAATCAGTAGCCAAGGATGGCCCAGTTGCTTACTGGGGGTCCCACAGCCAGCCTGTGACTTCTGCCTGGAGATGTCTCCAAAGCCACCGTCCTTTAGGAGGACGTAAGGGAAAGTGTGCCCAAGGAGCAGGTGCTGAGGGAGCAGCCTAGATGTGCATAGGGTGGGACACAGAGCGGGTCTGAAAACACAAGCTGAATTCCTGGGTGTCTTTCTGAAGGACCAGAGAGACAGAACTGAAAGGAACTCTCCTGCCCAAAGTGTTAGCCCGTTAGCCTTGGAAAGGAATGGCACTAGATCTGCGTGGAGAAGAGGGACTTGGCTCTCAAAGAGCCGCCAGTCCAGCTTTGCAGCAGTCTTGCTTCTCACTAGACCAACAGGGGTTAGACACTGAAGAATCAGACTTTGCCTGCAGGTCCCACCTGGCCAGCCCCGAACACCATGCTTCTGGCATGCGGCGATTTCAGGCATGTTGCTCCGAGGCCCCGGCACCAGCAAATGAATGGACTTCCAGTTCCAATTGCACTGAGGGCTACAACAAAAGCCACCCCATCCGAGTTCTGCTAGGCTCTGAGACACCCTGCTAGGGACCAGAGAAACTTTGCTGCTTAAGGGTTGACCGATCAGAACAGAGCTGTCCCAGAGAGGTAAACCTTTGTTCTCACTGGCCCTGCTGGTGCAGATGTGCAGCAGCTTTCCTGAGGTTCTCTTTAACTTTGAAAATGGAGCTGGAAACTGAACCAAGCTTCAACTGGAAACCCACTGCTCCGAAGACTGGATGGGGGAAAATGTTGGACAACCCCAGCATTGTACCTGCCTTGCTTGGTCCTAGGTGGCTGAGATTGATCAAGGGGCTCAATCCAGAAGCAATAGTCTGTAGGGCACAAGCCCAGCTGAATTGTCCCGTGACCCTAGTAGCACTGGTACGGGTGCTGCACACATCACAGCCCTAGTGCAGAGAATTCAATGAGCAGGAATCTACTCCTTTGGGACCAATCTCTGGGGGTGAGCAGCACTGACTGAGTGGCAAAGCCATCGATGCTTCTGAACCGATTGTGTGTTAGACTAGCTCTTCTTAAATATTGTTTATGTAGAAAATTGTCCCGTGACCCTAGTAGCACTGGTACGGGTGCTGCACACATCACAGCCCTAGTGCAGAGAATTCAATGAGCAGGAATCTACTCCTTTGGGACCAATCTCTGGGGGTGAGCAGCACTGACTGAGTGGCAAAGCCATCGATGCTTCTGAACCGATTGTGTGTTAGACTAGCTCTTCTTAAATATTGTTTATGTAGAA